ACCCTAAAACCCAAAAACCCTAAACTCTAGATCCTTTGTTGAAGTACCCTGGGAGCCATGCTGGTACCCAGCGGCCAGACGGCAACTACAAATACTATCCTCTAAGGACTTTTGGAGGGACCCCTAATAGGGACCCTTGTAGCTTATAGGGGTTACTATGCGGACTACCTAGGGATATAGGTTATATCATGACTATATAAGGGTTATATGACAATGGGATTAAGGGTCCCTATTAGGGGTCCCTCCTAAAGTTCCTAGATATCCTTCCTGACCACGCCGAGGTTTACTTGGAAGGTCCTGGGGACTTCGTAAGTAGGTTAATAGCCCCTATAACCCATACAGTAAGCTTAGTTATCCCCAGTATGAACCTAGTTACTAAGTCCCAATGATCCTCCAAGTAAGGGTTTAGGGGTTAGGAATTTGGGTTTTAGGGGTTTGGGTTTAGGGTTCTGCTTCCTCCAACCCAGACAATCAGCCGAAATAGCATCTTAGCTGAGCTTCAAACTGCCGCACTTTGCCCTGCCCAGAGGAACCTGTATACCTGGAAAGGCTTCGTACCTAACATATTGCTTTTCTTTCAGAGTCTACTTGGAGAGTTAGGGGTATTTAGTGAGTAGGTTAATACTAAAACCCTAAACCCTAAACCCTAAAATTATCCATCTACCTACTAATTAAGTCCCCCTGACCCTCCAAGTAAGGTTACTTTAGGCAGGCCCCAGGTTCCCAGCGCGCTTACTTATGTGAGCCATAGTCTAAACCCCTTAAAGGGGGGTATATAATGGGGTTTAGGGTTTAGGGTTTAGGGGTTACTAAGGGGGATGCTAGGACTTTAGACTATAGCTTATGTGGGGTCCTGCCAGGTTGATGCCAACAACGCTGCCGGGGAGCCAACAGGGCTCGCAAGGACGCTCAGCGGCCTTAATACAGGGGCCGGTTTAATTAGAATAGGGTTTGGGGTATACTATGTTATGAGTACATAGGGATTACAAGGGGATAGCATCGGTAATTATTTAGGCTTCTACAGTAGGTTTGGGTCTCTATGTTCGGCTTCTGATTTGTGGGGTTAGTAGGGCAGCAGGGAATCAGGGAACGGATTGCAAGGATTATGCATCGGAATTTTCTGCGGACTGCTATAGGGATCCGTTCCCTCCATGCGCTACTAAGCGCCAACCCTAAACCCTGAAGGTTTAGGCGTTGGGTTTGGAAGCAGAGATTGATAGCGAGAACAGTGTTCACGCGAATCCTGCCGCGGGGATTACTTGAAGTTGCAGGCCGATGTTCTTGGCACTGGGTATACCCCATTCTACTAGACTAGTTTCCATGTCCTTTTCCATTATCCCAATATCACCCCAACATACTATAGTAGTTTCCATTTTCCAGTATAATTCCAACATGCTTTCGTAACTAGTTTGCATTTTCCTTTCCATTATCCCAATATAATCCCAAACTATAGTAGTTTCATTTTATTTTCCATTATCAAAGAAGCTCTTGCGAGAGGGGGTGATGCTTTCACGTGACGAGCAGGCAAACTATCTTCATAGACCCCCCCGCCCATTTTGAGCAGGTTTGCAGTACATTGTCCATCTTCCTTTGCATTTGATTTTGAATTATTGGTAGGTAATAGGCCCCTGTAGTGCCCTGACTGAACAATGATCTGATTTGGTCTTATTGAGATTGATTGCTCCTTATATGGTGCGTTAAGGTAGACTGTGCCACCTATCCCTAAGCCCTGAACCCATGCTACACCACCCCATTATAATAGAGTAGTTTACATATTTCTTTTCCATTATCCCAATATCACCCCATTATAATAGAGTAGTTTACATATTCTTTTCCATTATCCCAATATCACCCAATATACTATCGTAGTTTCCATTTTCTTTTCCATTATCCCAAAATCAGCTATAGCCATGCTCTGCATGGATGATAGCCTGATCCTTCAAATGGACTAACGGTCGCAGCTGTACTAGGCAAGCATAGCGGTACTGATCTGCAAAGACAGGATGGATGCTTGGCAAGCTTTCTAGAGAACCGCAGTTGTACTAGCCACTAGTCTTGAATGATTGTATTTACCTTCCTAGGTCTCCATGTTTCGTTGAATTCACGCGAAGTTGAGTGAGCTAAGGCAGGGCTTCAGCCAGTTCTTCGCAGATACGGAGGGGCTGAAGATCTGCCAGGGACCCCTGGCGGCACTTGGGCTCTCAGGGTCTAGGTATTGTTTGGGGTTCTCTGCCTAAGTCTTGTGGGATAGAATATTGCGGGGAGGGGGGGGGTTCAATACAAACCAATATCATGGCCCGAAGTGCCTAGTATACTTAGTATAATTAAGAGTACATCAAAGAGACCCCAACATGATAGTCGTACTTGTTTAAGCCTAGGGTTTCCCCGATATAGTAACTTAAACCAAGTCCCTTAAATCCATATTCCCCTATTCCCCCAGTTTCCATTTCATGTTCCATTGTCTTTTCCATTTGATTCTCCATTATATAGGGGAATAATGTGGTAAGTTTAAGCCCTAAACCCTAAGACCTAAGCCCTAAACCCTAAACCTTAAACCCTAAACCTTTAACCCTAAACCTTTAACCCTAACATTCCCACCGAGGCCTGCTTAGGCTGTATCCGGCAGCTACTTACACCATTGCTTGGCCCGGTGTTTCATTGAAGACTTTAGAGAAAAGCGGGAATTTAGGGCGTCAGCCCGAAACCCGAACAGGAATAAAGTTGGGCGGATGCCTGCGCAAGCAGGGGGTGGGAGAGATAAACCAACACACCAACCACATTTTGGGTGTGTTGGGGTGCCATTTATACATGTTACCTCCAGCCGCCCGCCTTAAACCTTAAGGGCTCTTCCTTAGATGGGGGGCTCAGGCTTCTTTCTGTAAGCTATTGAAGCCTAGGGGGGACTTAGTAAGTGGGTTAATAATTGGGATGACTAGAGTTAGGGTTTAGGGTTTAGGGTTACCATATGGGATATAGGGATTATTCACCCACTTCCTAAGGCCCTGACCTTGAAAAAGTACCAATTCTGGCGAATTTCGGGCATGAGGGTTTCGGGTTTAGGATCCCCCTATCATCTTAGTGGTTGAGAACAGTGAATGGAAAAATGGATTCCTAGAGAAGCCCTGGTATAATCCACAGAATTGTAGTAGTTTCCATTTGCTTTTCCATTCCTCCATTCCCCGCTAGCAACCAGTGTGTCATTACAGCCTAGGCCGGAAGTACATTCCAGTCTCCACGGGGGAGAACTACCAGTGGCGGCCCTCCAAGAGGCAGCTATCAGAGCCGGGCCTACACAACATCGACGCTTGGCTGTTTTCTGAGAACTGGGGGTTTCCCAAATCTAGGGGTGCTTATAAAGGGGTTTGGGGTTACACAGGGGTATTTAGGGTTATATAGAGATTTCATAGGAGGTAGTGGTTTCCAAAAATTAGGGGTGTCTCGCTGTTTTTTGTGGAGTCCCTAGAATACAGATTGGGATCTACATTGCGGTCCCCTATTTAAGACAACTACCGACGGGGGTGGGTTGGGAAGCAGGTGGGTGTGGGACTACGGCGAGGAATCCTTAAACCGTAAACCCTTAACCCTAAATCGCTGGACCCTAAACCGGGGATCTTCTGAACCCCTGGGCTGAGGTTCGATTCTGCAGTCCGACAGGGTTATAGGGATATACTGGGATATATACTGTAGCGATATGTACATATGCAGACCATAGGGTTTATATAGCATTATATGAGCTATAGTCTACACTCATCAAAGGGGATTATATAGGGGACCACTGTAGGGGGTATTAAGGGGGATACTTGGAGTTCAGACTCTAACCCCTATAGTCCCCTATATAATCACAGTTTCCATTTTATTTTCCATTTTCTTTTCCATTTGATTCTACATTTATTAGGGGGGATACTAGGAGTTTAGACCCCTAAACCGAACTCTAAGCCCTAGACCTTAAACTCTAAACCCTGGAGTTATACAGAGGTGTAGTAAGGCGTAGGCAGGACTCTGGGAGGCTGCTAGGCGTGTGCTCCCTTGCGTTGCCGGGTTACCGGCCTTGTTTTTGCTTTCTTTCTTGTGCCTGTATAGGATGTAATCGTATACTATAGTAAAAGTATGCTATAAGACAGTAGAGTATAAGTATACTATAGTATATTATGGTATATCAAAACAAACCTAGGCTTGCAGGTAGTTTCCGCATCTTCCAATCCAATTCTCCAACCGCGCTGGCAGGAGAAGAACGAGGGCAAGCTACGGGTGCAGCCTCCCCCGACCCAGGTTTTCTCTATTCCGGTGCCCTGGCTGGCAGTGGGCATCTTTGTTTGGATAGAAGCCGGAAGATCTGGCCCCCTTCAGAATCCCTATACTATAGTATACTATAGTAGTCTCTGGCGTCTAGAGAGCTTGCTCCGAAGGTTATTATCTGTAAAATTTTGATCTGACAGGATTATGGGGATATTTAGACGTTACAGGGTTGTCTGCAATGATCATTTCCCCAGGAGCATTTTTTCTCAGAGGTCTGCAGTTTGGCACATAGTCATGTAGACGTTCTCCGAATTTCCCTATAGAATCCTACCTTAAACGCTAAAACCTTTTCGCTAAACCCAGAACCTTGTAACCCCCTGTGCTCTACCCCTGATGGATCCCGACAGTACCATTTGTTGAAAGGCCAGGGACCGGTTGACGATGGATGGTGTTGGGTTTAGGGTTTAGGGTTTTTGGCATAGGGACCGATGCCTTTCGAGATTACCAGTGACATTTACTCTGCGCATCTGTGGGCGGACTGTAAAACCTGCAAATCGTCCTAGACGTTAATCCGTTAAACATGAGACCAGATTCCTACGTCCAAGGCCTTAAACCCTAAAAAAAATCCTTAAAACCATAAAGCCCTAGACCCCTAAACCCTGAGTGGTCCAAGCGCAGCAAAGCTCTTGGGGGCCTTGCAAGGAGCGTCGCCATGTCCGTATGGTGGAGTCTAAGGAGGCACAAACCGCTGGTTTCAGGATCTAGGCTTTAGGTTGCAAGGTGTAGAGGGTTTAGAGTTTTAACATATTGGATTTGCGGTTTAGGACCTAGAGTTGGGGGGTTTACAAAGTCAGGATAGTTTTGGGGCCCCTCGGAGATCTGCCGATTCTTGGAGTCCTCATCCGGCATCCTATAGCCATTATTTTGAGGAAACTCTCACATGTCTGGTTTAAGGTGGACTGGCTCAAGAGTATCTAGCGCTGACAGCGAAAAAGAGAAGTTTATGTTTTTGCGGGCAGGCAATTGCGAGTAGGTGATGTTGTAGGCGCCCATGTTGTCATGATTGTCAGTGCTGTTGCTATGGTTGTCCAGGGTCCTTCGGTTTTGATCTGGTTACAGTCAGGGGCTCATTTCTGCAGTAAGCTTGTTGGTAGCAAAGGGTTTGATGAAGTAATTATTGCATGCAGAACCTCATGCAGACTGGTACAAATACGATGGTACCATGGGTACTCTAAACCTACACCTACTGTCAGCTCAAACTTACTGGTGGTTAGTAGGGAATAGGGGAATATAATCCCCATACAACATACTCTCTTATTCCCCATTAACCCCTCAGAAAGTAACAAGTTTGGACAGCAAATTTGGGCTTGGCCAACATGATGATGAGATCTTGTTTAGCTCAGGGGTTCCGGGCCGAGAAAGGCACCGTGAAGTGGAGACACCCTGCATAGCTTACTGTGGTTAGTAGGGAATGACTTACGGGATATAACCTTTGTATAGTCCCTATATAATATATTCCCTTATTCCCTGCTAACCCCCAGGAAGGAAAAGCCTGTGAAATGTCAGGAGTATGGAGACCTCGCGGTTGGCAAAGGCAGCCGAGTCCAAGTGAGAAGCATGGTACTTCCGGCCGAGTGGTATACAGTGCTTACGTAGGGGTTACATTGGGGTTTCAATTTGGGGTTACGTAGGGTCTACAAGTACCGCGGATAAAGCCATTGTCGACCTACCTTGATTCCGTTTGTAAACCATTCGCCTCCAGAGTATGGAGCAGGGAAGGTGCCCCTAGCACGCGGTAGTGACTGATTCGTCTGGACCCTCTGAAGCCGAAATTGTAATGCTTCTCCTGGCTGTGACTTCATGAAATGGCTTAGAGCGAACCCCTGTCAATTCATTGGGCAATGGGTGACACAAGACCATGGCCTGCGTCTTGCGGTCTCTGATGGGATGAACGCTTAGGCTTCGAGGATATTGTCTGTGGAGGGATTTACACAGTACAGGGTCAAGGAGATGGGTATATTATAATTTCCATATAACCCATAGTCTAAATTCCTTAAAGGGGGTTATATAGGGGATTGTATAGGGGACTTACGAAGGGGGATACTAGGAGTTTAGACTATAGCTCATATAACCCATATCTATTTGAGGGAGACACAACCCTTTCTGAGCAGGAATCGTTCACCGGGCCCCCGGTCTCCGCGCCGCAGAAGTTGCAGCCAGGGAGGTGGATGTCACCGTGGAGATGCAGCGCAAGGCCTCCGTATCATGATCGTGATGATGTTGCTATACAGACATTCCATTTTTGCATGTTGTAGCACAGTGTTCTACAGTAAATTTCATTAGCTTTGTATTTCGTAGTATATCATCGTGCATTATAGTATATCAGAGTATACTGGGGAGTATAAATAAGGGATTATTCAGGGATAATCGAAATCGCCATCGTATATTGCGGTAGCTCTATTGATGATAATCCTACGGTTGGAAGCATGGGCCCCTCATCCTGTCAGTGGGATTGTCGGGCCGCTTAAGGATCGCTATATGATCTACAGTTAGTAACCCCTATAATACTCCCCTATATAATCCCCTATACAACCCCCCTTTGAGGAGTTTAGACTGTAGCCCATCTAGCCCTATATAGAGTAGCTTCCATCTCATTTTCCATTTGATTTTTCCATTTGAGTCTCCATTATTGGGGGGTAATATACCTTTAGTATCCCTATAAAGCCCTTTAAAGGGACCTAAGGATTCCATTTCATTTTCCATTTTCTTTTCCATTTGATTCTCCACTATTCCTAGATTGTATACATGTGCTTTGATTAGACTAATTTTGGGGAACCCTAAACCTAAATAGTAGTTTCCATTTTCTTTTCCATTATCCCGTCATACCCTCTACATTGTATACTTGTGCTTTGATTGACTTGCACGTGGGTATGTGCACACAGGGACCGGTCCATCCTTCCGGCCCAATGTTTGAAGTTCAGAACAGTGATGCTAACATAAGTACGCCATAGTGGCAGTGGCAGCAACATCATCAGTGTGAGAAGAAGTCGTTGCAATATGAAAAGCATCAGCAGCATTCGTAGTACTGGTAGTGCTATTATTAGTAGTAGTACTTACTACTTACTAGCAGTATTATCAGCAGTCGTAGCAGTGATGCTAGTTGTAGTTCGAGTTGCAGCAACGTCGGTGGTGGTGGTCGTGGTAGCAACAGCAATCAAGCTGTCCTTGTATAGTGACCGCAAGACTGGTAGATCCCTTCTAAACCCTGCCCACCCCTCGTTGCCTCCTACATCTTTGCCCAGGCAATACAGCAGCTTGAGCCCGCCCAGAACTAACCATCGCATGCCCACACGGCTCGTGTTGCTAGCAGCAGGCCAGAAGCCCAGCTATGTAGGGGGGCATGGCCAGGCCAGAAACCAGGAGCTGGACTTGAAGCACAATGGCATAGGCGAGAAGGGGCACGAGCTAGTAGGCATAGGTTAGAATTTGCATGGTGGTTGAATGGAAGAAATGGACACTAGATGATACTACCATGCTTTTCAGGGTCCAGGGCGTGTAAACTCCTGTCCTTTAGACTTTTTACTGACAGAGGGGGCAGGTCGCTCCGTCAGACATGGGCATGTTCTTGAGATGAGCACGTAGTGACTTCAAATGAGGTGCTTAGATAGGACTTCATAGGATTCCTGAAGCAAGCACCCTGGGGTAATATTAGTGTTACATTGGGGCTATATTGGGATAATGGAAAGAAAATGGAAACTATAGGGATTATACCTTCAGAAACACAATCTTGATTCAGGCACATACTCAACGAAGTTGTATCGCTGGGCGCGTCGAGCAACTTCAAATCCCGTTCTCTCAGGTAACACACCCACACTTAAGATTGAATCATATATGGTATTTTCCCTAAATGGGGGTACCCCAATATAAACTCAAATCTATTATAATCCCTATTGAAAGGATCCCCCCCGAAAAGGCTACCCCTAATTCTGGGAAATCCCACATCCCTCCAACTTGTCGGAGTAGGTATTGCAGATCATATGAGCCGTAGTCTAAACTCCTTAAAAGGGGTTATATAGGGTTTAGGGTTTAGGGTTTAGGGGCTATAGGGCTTCTTAAGGGGAATGCGAGGAGTTTAGACCATGGCTCATATAGGGGTGCGGGTGTTTAACCGTCATCGGGAGGTGATTGCAAGCCAGGGGAAGAGTTCCAAGAGCGGGTCAATGCACGGGACGTACGATGGGTCGGATTTTTTGAAAAATGCTTGTAGCTTAGCTAGGTACACGGGTTGCTAGCAAAATATGGGCCCCTTTTTGGTTATAGTTTATTTTACGGCACACAATATTAAGGGGTACCAAAACGGGACCCTAACTTTGGGAACTACCCACATACCACAAAGATAGTGATAAGGAGGAGTAAGGCTTGCCCAGATGTTTGAAGTTGGGGTCGTAGCCCGTCACATTGAACTCCTCGGATTCCTGGCATATGATAAGGTTCCACTGGGATGGCAGCAACGCGATTGGCGATGACCTTTAAACGCAAATGTACCCCTAGTTGCCATTTCATTGTCCGTTTTTTTGCCCATTGGATTCTCCATTATTGTCGTTCTTACAAGCAGGGCATCATCTTCATGGGGTCCCAAATTGCTTGCGGCTTCTGGCAGAAGTCAGCTAGCAACTTCAAGAACAGCATGGCATTTGCAGAAAGGTCAAACCCTAAAATCATAAACCCTAGGACCCTAAACCCCAAACCCTAAAATCATAAATCCTAAACCCCAAACCCTAAAATCCTGAACCCTAAGGCCCAAACGTGGATCCTGCAGCGGACTTGGCCCAAAGGGATCCTAAGCCTGTGACCCTTCCATCCACTTCCGAGCCTGTTCTCTCAGATCAGGCCAGGGGTTTTTGGTGGGCATGAGCCGTAGTCTAAACTCCTTAAAAGGGGTTATATAGGGTTTAGGGTTTAGGGTTTAGGGTTTTTGTGGGCAGTGATCTGAATTCCTTTGCAAAAGCACCCGATGCAAGGGGAAGTTGCGCAAATAAGGGCCGTTGACGAAGGTGTCAGGCTTGAGAGGCAATTTGAGCCTGGGGCTCATACTTCTTTCCCAGAAGAAACACAGGTTCAAACATGTGCTCTATGTCTGGACTCCCACCTGCAGTGCCTGGGCACTTGGCAGGTACTATGGGGTGTGCTTCCAGTTCCAGTGTCATGGTGCACGACGATGCGGATGAAGTTTGTGTCGTCTTTACGGACTCTTGCCAGGGCAGCTTCTAGCTAGTCGAGCACATAGGGGTTATATAGGGGTTATATTGGGATAATGGAAAATAAAACGGAAACTACTATAATGGGTTATATAGGGATTGTAGGTATATATTAGGACCATCTATAGGTTATAGGGATAATGGAAAAGAAAATGGAAACCCTAGGTCCTTTTACAGGGATATATAGGGTTATATTAGGGGGTTATATTGGGGTTATAGGGATAATGGAAAAGAAAATGGAAGCTACTATAGTAATTTCCATTTTCTTTTCCATTCTCCCTATGAAGCCCTATATCATCCCTATATGAGCCCTATATAACCTTATACGGAATGAGTGGGCCTTCTGTGTATCACAGTGTGCTAGACAGCCGACAACCGGATACATGCACAAGACCTTAGCATCCCCCCGAGGTAGAGTAGTTGGTGGCCAGTGGCCAGTCAGTTCACGTCCGACAGCGCTTCCTATTGGCATCTCACCCTAAACCCTAGACCCTAAACCCTAAACCCTCTTTGTGTGTTTTCAACTGACCAGCTGCAGGACCGACGTGGTCGCAAGATCAATGAGCGATCAGCTCCCTTCAAGGACCGTCAGCCGTAAGCATGTGAGCTATAGTCTAAACTCCTTCAAGGGGGTTATATAGGGGATTATATAAGGGACTACTATATGGGTTAGTAAGGGGGATACTAGGAGTTTAGACAATGGCTCATGTTGGTCCGGGTTCGGCGCTGAAAGAGAAAACCCCAGCTGCAGCAGCCATTCTCATCTTGAGCCTTTGGAATCCTTTGGATCTGTGAGCCTGTAATGTCTTGAGCCAAGAGGGCTAAACCCTAAACCCTAAACCCACTTCATGGGAGGAGCCTCTTCGGCGCTTCAATTCCATGCGCTGCAATGATCATGATGCTGCTGGCATCACAGTCCCAATCGCAAGCACCCACGAAAATCATTTGAAGCGGTGGCTGTGGTGCAATTGGCACGGCTTGTAAGAACCAGTTGTCCCAAACCGACTCAAGTGTTGTGCAAGTTAGATATACCCTACTATAATATAGTAGTTTCCATTTTTTTCCATTATCCCTAAATCACCCCAATATACAACAATAGTTTCCATTTTCTCTTCCATTATCCATACATGTATATAACCCCAATATATTCCCTTATTCCCAATTGCCTGAAGCAAGTTCCGTGAGCCTGCTGAAAGACGGAGATGCATGAAGCCCTCAGATACCGGCATCCGCTACAGTATCCTATCATGTGAGCTACTGTCAACATTAGCCTTATGAAGGGACCCTCAACATTGGTCCCTCTTGTAGTTTAGTGTCGCCCGTAATGATGTAGTCCCTAATAAGGGACCTATGTCCATTAATTTTGTGCAGAAGAGTTGACTGTAGGTCATGTGTGCCCAAAGGCCCTCAGCCAGCACAGGAGGCAATGTGTCAAGGGTTCCAAGCCTTCCTCTGCTTGATGCCACCTCCAGTATTACAAGTGACCTATCTACCCTAAACCCTAAACCCTAAACTACCTTGTAACTTGCAGAGCTCAGATGTGCACTGAGGCTCAACAAGTTCTTGGCAGAGGTCGAGAGAAACCCGAAGTTGTTGGAGAGGAGAGTGCTGCCAAGCCAACTCGCAGGGCGCCGCTACAGCCTGACGGAGATCATTGAGCAAGTCGGCAAGGACAGCTATGAGACAGATATCGCAGATGTCAGCACAGACGTGTCGAACATGGCCTGCAGTCCAGGCAGCTATGCTTAGGAGACCCCAGGACGCTGTAAGAGTGCCCGGGGTTTGCAGATCTCTTCCGACCCGCAAGCAGTCCCACGGGCCAACATCAGCCGGGAGCACTCTCCCAAGACTGCCCAGTTGTCATGTCAAGACAGGGTTTTCAAAAACAGAAAGGGAAATTTAGGGATTTTTCAGGAATATGGGATGAGACGATGATGGGGTGTCATTATCAAGGATTCGACAGGGCTAATCCTGAGAAACTTCAAAGGGAATGTTTTATGCTAGTAGATCTAATTAGTGAAGCTGGTAGCTGACAGTAGCAGGAAGATTTTAGTTTCCAACTCTTGCGACGGTTGATTTCAGTCCACTCGCGACGATGCTCTTAATTCGGTTCCCAAACAACGGTACTGTACCCCACATAGCCAAGCGCCCCACCACAAAAGGGCAGATGTTGCTGAGGCGATTGCATGACCAAAGCGCTTCTCATGTGAAGGGTTTCTGAAAGTGGATTCTCTTGCGTTTTTGACATGCCAATCTTTCGGTGTTGTCCAGGAGAATCGTGTCGTGTTGTCCAAATTAAATCAACCATACAAACCCTAAACCCTAAACAACCACAACCATGGCTGGTGTATGGGCTACAGAATGCTTGACACGGGCGGACACCCATAGCGAGCCCCACCTTGATGAGCAACCTGCTGGGTTGCTGCTAAGGAGCTTAATTTAAGTTACTATTTGGGGGAAACCCTATTCATTACTATGTATACCCATAATGGTAACTGCGCTCCATACTTTCTTGCCGATGCTTGCCTAGAGCGGCACGGTGATGAACAGCAACAGCAGGCTTTGGCAGGTTTAGTACTTACATACGGCATTTATGCTAAGGACTTTCTGGTTGCTGTGTTTTGAGTCACCATGAGCGTCTCTTTCACAGGCATCAAATCCGTGAAGTATGTCTTCTTTTGCGTCCGTTACTTGTACCATTTACAGTGCCTAGCGGCATTGGTCATCAGAATGTGAGAGCCACAGGACATGTAGAGAAAACCGTGCTATTAGCACCAGTATTGCGCATACATTGACCGCCCATTGTCGTCGTCAGACGCAGCGGCATTGTCCTCATCCTCCTCCGCTTCTCCTCCTCCCTTGATCGAATTATAGTAATAGCAGCAGTAGCGGTAGCAGTAGCAGTAGCAGTAGTACTATTTCAGGCCTGGCGGCAAGCGCCGGCCTGGCCACTGCCCCTCTGCCCACCCAGCCGAGGGCCAGCACACCCCAGCCCTGCTGAATCTCCTGACGGGGAGAACTGTATGAAAGGAAGATGTTGTTGCTACCTGGGATGGTTTCTTGGATTTGGAAGGTCTTGTTCTCTTTAGTTTCATTGAAATTGACCCAAAATGGGGTCCCAACTGTGCTGATGCTGCTCCAGTACGGGGCGCACGCGCATGCGCCCCTCGTACAGGAGCATCACAATTGGGACCCTGTCTTGGAGGCCAGGAGAGGTCAAAAACTCAAGAAAGACATCGTAACCAGCTTTGAATATGTTCTGTGCTTGCATGCTGACCATGTTTTGGCCCACATGTACGTTTTTGGCTGGGCAATGTGGAACGAACATTTCAACATACTTGATAGGCTCAGGTGGTGCAAAATCCTGCATAGGAACCACACAGTGCTGGAAGTAACCCAAAAAGCCATGCGGTTTTGAGAGGTTAGCCCGGGTAATGCACGCAAAGCCTTCCGTACGCTTGCCATGCGGTACAGGTGCTGTCCATGCTGGTATTCAGGGCCTGAAATACTGCCCACGGCGCATACTTGAGCTTCATAGCGCATTTTCAGGTCCCGGCAGCCCCCCAAGAGCCAACATCATGAGCTTGTTTGGGCCCTCAGTTTTCTTCTTGACACCACACATATGAGGTTCCAACACCCCTCCGAAACCCTAGATATGTTGAGGTCTCCAAAAGTGAGAAACGAAGGCCCAATTGTGCTGATGATGCTGGCCAGAAAAAGTTGTCCTACGCGTCCAAAAGCGGATTCAGGGCTTGAAAAGGCGGGGGGGTTCGGCGGTTGTGGCGTTACCCCCTTAAAGCATAGCTTGAGCTAGGCCTGCATCCGTGCTGGACCATAACGGCCAGGCCGGACCTCCTCCCTCACCACCGTGGCCATCACCGCTTCACAGCCACTGCAACCGACACTGCAACTCACGGCTGCCGCCGCCACAGTGGGGACCCCCCCTCACCTACACCCCCATGAAGACAACAGCGACCCACATCATCCATTACCCAGCGCTGCTACAACCGAGAAGATCTTTGTGACAACTTCTTGTATGAAACGCATGGCAAATGAGCTTGTGCGGAGTCTTTCCCCCTGCCAATGCCCTCATCAAGGTGCCCGCTCCTATGGGGCATTTCCTTTTTTTCTTCCGCGTGGAACGGCGGAACCTTAGGTTTTTGCTGCTTGCTGGGTCACTGTATGAAGGAAGCACTGTCTGGCATGGTCAGAGACCTGGCAGATAAGGCATTTGTAGTTTTGGAACCTGCACAGGACAACCCTTTTGAGGTGCTTGGCCAACATTTGCAGCGATGGCTTGGCCCCAATGCGGCCAGGTTTTTCACTGTGATATGTTGGTGCTTGGGATGCTCAGGCTATATTAAAACTTGGTAAAGTTCCCATGACTTCCACAAGCTAATGGTATCTTGCTTCTGAGAATCCCGAGATAACAGTTTTTCGCAAGGGTGGCAGGGTGAATTCCCTTCCAGTCCGACATGTAAAGAGCATGTGCTTTCGCCTGTTGGCTCAGCAACTGGCGTCAGGTTTCGCCGCCCTGCGGCTTTCATGACGTTTTGTGCCCCCCGTGGCTGTTGGAAGGTCTGCGTCCATAGGAGCTCACATGACACGACTCTAAACCCTAAGCCCTAAACCGCGTAGGCCATAGGAAGCTTGTCTGTGGCAGTCAAGTTCGGAAGAGTGAGAAGCTGAGTGGTTGCTCATGGATGCACCATAGAGACGAGGAGACAATGTCTTGCTGCATGTGAGAAGTAAAGCGCCCAACAGCACGTCTTCAAAACTGATGACAAACCTGAAGCTTGCATTCTCACCGTGTCGGAGCTCCATGTGGTTAGGCCTACGATTCAACAGATGGAGTGTTTACCTACCTCCTCTCGTTGGTCCACGGGGACAGCGAACTTCCCTTTCGTCCGCCTCCACTCTTACATGCAACATTATTGGGCTTGTTTCAGGGCAAGGGGCTCCTGCTAAGTACAGTGTGTTTTTGCACATGGTAGCCAGATGATCAGACTGCTCGTTGGGTCATTTGGGTGGCTGAGGCGTCTGCAATTTAGTGTCGAAGAGAGGTTGTGCATATGGGCCTGACTCCCTTTTTCATGTCAGTGGGGCTGTGCAACAGTATCTGTCGGTCCTAACTTCCCCAATATATTAAAGTATACCACAAGGGGGCTATTTGATATTAGGGGGTGGGGTATCAATATTAGGGGAGAGGGTTTATGAACAGACTATGAAATCTGGGCTTGTCTGCCAGCTGGAAAAAGAAGTCAGATTTTGGCCATGGTCTTCCTCACCCTTTTTTGCCAAGAACTGCAGCGCATGAGGCATGCGGTCTGTTCTCTGGACTTTCCGGGAACTTGCTTCTAGCTCGAATTTCTGATTTGGCTTGCTGTGTAGACATGCACATGGTATGGAGATTATCAGACTACGCGTATGGCTCATACTAGTCATGCTGCCGACCAAGCAGTATGGGCCTTACAGACAGCAGCAAACAAAGACCTGATATGGAGGTGTCCGGAAACTAGGAGTCCCTCATTGAGGGTTGAATAGAAGGACTATCATATATTTGGGTGTGTAAAGGTTTCCTCCCATTTCCGGAAACTCCCACATGTGAGCTATAGTCTAAACTCCTTAAAGAGGGTTGTATAGGGGAGTATATGGGGGAGTATTCACGGGGCTATCAAGCGGGATGCTAGGAGTTTAGACTACAGCTCATGTGAGGTCATCTTAATGGGGTTACGGCTTTCTCTACTCAGGCTCCGGATGGCCCTACACGGCTGAAGGGTTTAGGATTGAAGGAACGACACAGCGGTAGTTCAGAGACTACTGTGGATGCAGGAGATTTTGCATCATGTTCTTTGCCACTTACCCCGAGAGGTACAGCTTTTTGGATAACAAGTGGTGCAAGATTTCATTCACCCAGCGTATCAGAGGTAAGGAGCTAAACCACCCTGAACTGAACGCCAAAGAGACCCTCAACCCTGAACAACCCTGCACACAAACCCAGCCAGAAACTACCCCCACACCAAAAAAAAACACAGTGGATTGGGCACCCGGACTAGGGAAGGAGTAACCCTAAACCCTGAAAGCACTACTTGTCAAAAACCCTTGAGCCATGCAGACGAAGTTGGTACACTTCTCGATTTGAAGCGTGTCTAAGTCCTTGACCTGGGCGCAGGGGCCATGCTAATCTTCTCTGATGTGTGTGTGTCATCCTTGTGCAGAGGCTTTGCTTGCTTCGCAGCAGGGTTGGGGCTCTGAAGGAACACATGGGAGTATTTTGCAGGCACATTGCGATGGATCAAAATGAGGTGTGCGTTTTTCAAGTCCCTACAAACATCTCTTGTACGGGTGATAAGAAAGGACCTCAGTTTTGATAGGCATCGGGCTTTGTGACATGAGGGCTTGTGTGGAAACTGCTTTGGTACAAGCTAATGCACGTTTGCTATTACCAGACAGCAAAACCAAGTTGCAAATAGCTTGGCCGGTGCCCGAAGCCTGAGGAGCCTGCCGTGCTTCCATATTTAGCGCGAACAGCACCGCCTCATTTGAAGCTGTTGGACAGCTCGGCGGACGATGCCAAAGACAGTCTGGATTGCATGTAACTGTGGGAGGGCCGCAGCCAAGGACTGGAGGTCCATCGTTGCATCCGACTGTTAGCACTCCTTCCTCTGCTCAGATTGAGAGCGCCGCTTGAATGATTTGCTGCAGTGCGCGAAAAAACGCGCCAGACTGCAATAGGGAGCACGATCCAG